TTTCTTCTTCCTCATTTGGATTGCCATGTCCATTCCAAACATCAAATCAGCATTATGAAAGATATCTAATTGTTTATCAACTTTTTCTCTCATAATAGGACTTGGGCACATTCTCTGAATAGTCTGATATAGTCCCATCTTTATCTCATAGTCCGCACTACCGGTGTAATGAAACCTGAAATAATTATTTTGATTTACAATGATCATTGATCAGCATACAATATATAGATATAAAATGATATAAAAATTGAGAAAATTAAGTCTTACACGGGATTGAGATAATGGNTTGGAATCGTTGGTGGCTGCGACTGATTTACCAAAAAACAAACAAAAATAGAGAATTCGCGTATCGTTCGTATCGGGTTGATATGTATCGTATTATAAAAACATATCGTGTAATACTATGTAAAAACGATATAAAACTCTGATTCGTATTGTTTTACCTCTGTATCGTGACGTATCGTACAATACTAACAATTATGGCCAGGACTAATACATCTGTTCAGTGCAACACTAACACACCACACGACACGACACACCACCACGTTTGCCTTTACCTCNCATATCGTGTAATACTATGTAAAAACGATATAAAACTCTGATTCGTATTGTTTTACCTCTGTATCGTGACATATCGTACAATACTAACAATTATGGCCAGGACTAATACATCTGTTCAGTGCAACACTAACACACGACACGACACGACACACCACCACATTTGCCTTTACCTCCACCTCTACCTCCACCCCCACCCAACATCAATGCGCGTATACTTCTAATGGTAATTATGTTTTTTCAACAAAGTAAAGATTGCGTGAATTTTGCATGCCTAACTTCTGCAATTCAAACTTAAAGGGAGTTATTTGTTAAATTAAAACGCGAAGAAGTGAATGACAAAACTACCCAAAGTTAAAAGGGGCATTTTGTAATTAACCCAAATAAAAAGATCAAATTAAAAAAAAATATTTCAAGCCTGTAAATCAAAGGTTTCTCTCCATTCTGTTAAATAGTAAAAGTGGAATAAATACTTCAAAACCGAGGACCAAAAAAGAGGTAAAAAAATGAATATAGTCTCATAATCCTTCAAAACAATTTTTTTGATCTTCAAATATTCTTTCATTTCATTCTAACAAATAACCCAAAATGTAACCATGATAGCACAGTTCCAAATAGTCTTTCCTTTACCCTATCTTCCAAGGCCTTTCAAACCTCCACAAACAAAGATGTGGATGCGGGAATCATGATGTTGGAATTATTACACACTAGTAGTTAAGTCCTTGCATTTTGAAGTTATAAAGATCAGTCATGAATTATGGCAGAAGAATAAGGTTGTATATCTAGGCATTATATCATAGAGTTGAAGCAGTAATGATGCTAGGTTTAATTGAGAAGCAAGTGTTGTTTTTATTGTCTTGTTGGATGATGTTTGCTTCCTTCCACACTTTCATAACAACATTGTCTCCATGGCTGTCAGTGGTGGTCATGTAAATTAGGCCTTTTATGATTTAGCATAGATGGGAGAGCCTTTGCTTTCTATTATATTAATCAAGCACTAGCACTCAATAGAGTAAGGATCTCGTCTAGATGGATAGTTGGGATGCCTTAGATGTTGGTATGGAGACTTTCCTTCCCGATTGCTGAACAACCCCCCTTTNTTTTTTTTTGTAACCCTAACCACTGAAACGACGTCGTTTCAGTGGTTATAGGGATTTAAAAAAAAAAGAGCACAAAACGACGTCGTTTATAAAAAAAAAAAATTGCATGTATTGTGCGTTTCGTACCGANTCT